TCTCTCTATCTATATATAGATAGAGATAGATATATAGATGTACACATACATATACACACACACACACACACACACCATAACTTTAAAATCGGACCATTGACCTTTTCATGGTACATTTAGATCGTAGATCGATGTAGTTGCATCTATAACGTTATAAGTGAATCTTTACCCCCCTAATACTCACCACTCTGCTGCTCAGACAGAAATATAATTTCCATTGACTCATTGCAAGCTATTTTGTTCTCCTTTTTTTCCCCCCATTCAGCATTCAACATTATAGCATTCCAGTAGTTCAAATGACATAATCCTACCATGTGCTGGTAGGCATTTAATGTGAAATATCTGCTGGAAGTCACTGAGTCCCTTAATGCAAACAAGTGCTTTTGCAGTTTTTTTGGAGAATGAAGACAGCACACAGAACCAACCTGGCTTTCAGTCTGCTCCAGAGGTCTCTTCTTGCGAGGCCCGATGGCAGCCAGAGCAGTGAGGTTGGCCTCTCTTTGCTGCAGCTGAGCGTCTTCTATTTGTTGTAACTGGAAAGAAGAAGAAGAGACAAAGGATGAGTGGAAAAGCAGTGAATAAACAGCTATTCACATACTCAATCAACTTCAGAGAGCATGGCTCTGGCAAAAAGATAACAAAATTTGCCAACAAACACCTCTAGAGATCACCGACATTAAACAGGTTATATCTTGTTTGTTTAAACGTATAAAAAAACAATGTTTTGGGGTTATGAGACTAGTTCTTGGCTGTGACCAGTGATTTCTTGGAGTCTCTGCAGGTTAACTGGTGCTCAGAGCCCAGAAATACACCTCAGCTGTTGAAGAAGACTGTTATTGAGACCCCTCATCAGACAGCAAATCAGCAGTATGTCCCAATGCAAACTATTCCTTCAATCATTTGTTTCCACAAAATACAGTTTCATATGTTGGGCTGTCTAGCACATAATCAGCAAATAAAGCCCATTTCTGTTCACCTGCTGCTATTTTATCCCTCTGAATTGCACTGTTTTGTCTTATTCCTTGTGCTAGGACAGAAATAAAAATTGTAGAGAAAAGAAAGGAGGCCTAACAGGCAACCTTGTTAAGTTGTTTGCTGTGGACCAGAGATTTTCAAACTTTGAGGTGCAGCACTGGGGTGAAAACAACCGCCGATTTGAATAGAATATACTTGGTACTAAATGTTACACACAGGACCTCTAAACCTTTAATGGACTACTGAACTAACAAGACATCATACTATCTCAGACCCTCAACTAATTGACATGATTTGAACAATGTTTACACAAAGTTTGTTAAAGCTGCTTCTGTCACTGAATGCACATTTTATTCACCGCAGGGACTTCAACTCCAACTTGAGGAACAGCCTCACCTAAAATCACTTCCAATTAGTGCCACACCTACTCAAGCTTTCTGTGTGTGTGTGTGTGTGTGAGACTTGGCAAAGTGTTGTGAGTCGTGAGTGTATGTTGCAGTGCTTGAGTGTGTGTGCGGGGGTGGCAGCAGCGGGGCATGTAAATGAACAGGTTTTTTTTTTGCTGTGGAGAAACCTCTGGGAGCGTGATGGCTGGGAGCTACACAGCAGCATGAGCGGGAAAACAAGCCCTGCGCGGTGTTACCGCCTCCTTAAATAGCCACACTGCAACTGGTGCCTTTCATCTCCCTCACACTTCTCCCTGCCCTGCCAGCAAAAAAAAAACATTACACACACACACTGTTGCATCACTAAATGAACAATTAGAATGAAAAATAGTGGGGATTTAACGAGTTCCCGAACCCGGAGTTTACACTGGCACACAACTGAAACATATCAGGAGCCTTTCACTACCATAGATGAAGAAAGATATGAGGAGGGACTGAGTGTTCACTCTGTAACACTGATTCACACAAAAAAGTGACAAAGATGTCCAAATATAGACTTGGATCAACTTTAGTCCTTGATTAAAAATTAACAGTCAGCCTGGAGCCCAATTATCCACAGAGGTCTCCTCCTCTCCAAAACACACTGACCTGGGGGTGGCTGTGGCTCCAGAGGCAGAGCGGTCGTCCACTAATCGGAAGGTTTGTTGGTTCGATCCCCCGGCTCCTCCTGCCACAATTGTTAGCAGTATCCTTGAGCAAGATACTGAACCCTGAATATTCTCCTGGTGTGTGAATGTGTTGTGGAATGAGTTTACGTTTTCCTGTTCGATGGGCTTTTGCGGAATCGACGTGAGTGTGTGAATGGGAGTGAATGTGGCACGTAGTGTTAAAACCGCGTTGGAAGAACTAGCAAAGGGCGCTATACACGAGGTAGCAGGTCCGGGCTTTACCATTTAGCCGTGCTGATTAAAAGGCTGCTAAAAACAAGCTGAATATGGAGAGGCAGTTCCACCTTAAAAATGCCTGTTTCTCCCACGCTGTTGGGCAGCACGCTGTAAAAAGTGCAGGGTTGCTGTTTGTGCAAACATTCAGCATCTTGGCTGTGCATTTCCCGCAAAGGGATGTTTTATTTTTCCTGTGTTGTTGTTTTTATTTAGTTCTTCTTTATCGGCTGTTCTTTATCTACATTTTATCTGCTGTTTTCTTCTTGTTCTTACCTTGTTACCACGCTCTTGAAAGCACCTTGTTCCCTCATTAAAGTTATATATAAATAAAGTTTATTAGTATATCTCATGTTGTCATTTTGTGAGTATCCTAAGGGGAGTCTCGCAGCTTTCTCTGGAATCAAAGCACATACACACCTCTTTGGCTCTTTGCTTAAGCTGCTGATGCAGTGGATCCTCAGTGTGTGAGCGACTCTGTGATCACAGACAGACAGATGTTGATTTAGTAAGCAGGATTTAATACTTCAGTATAGGCAGAAATGAAATGTTTACAGATAGTCACTGTGATTTCGGATAAAATGAATGGTAAAAGGGCATTGACATTTACAGAAAAGAATTCCTCTTCTAAAGTATTCATATCAATTCAATTCAATTCAATTCAGTTTCATTTGTATAGCGCCAATTCATAACAGAAGTTATCTCAGGACACTTTTCAAATAGAGCAGGTCTAAATAAAAATGATTTACAGAGAACAGTTCCCACCATGAGCAAGCACTTCATATCATAAAAACATACTATCTTAGTTGTATAATAGTTATATAGTATTTCTTTGCTTCTAATAGAGAAAAATGGTGCTTTCAATCTCTTTTTAGTAAAACAAGCAGTACTACTTTCTAACCTAGCTTACTCTGGCCAAACGCAGCAGTCTCTCTCTCTCCTCTTCATCTTTCCTTTTCTTCTTCAAACTCTCCACTTCCTCCAGGAAGCGAAGCTGGGAGCGTACATCACTCACTTTGGCATGCCACAGGTCCTCCTGTTGCCACACAAATACACACAAAAGTTAACAACACTGAGGGGCTCTATTTTCCTAGCTGCCAACTACCAGCACAAGCAGTGCTCTGACAGCTTGTCTGTGTGGTATTTTGGTGCTCGGTGCAGTGTGAACGGTGGGAGGAGAGGAACACACAGAAAGGTGGGAGGTTCATTGAGATGAAGCAGCTCAAAAACAGTTGTTGGTATTTTGGTGGAAAATGGGTCTCAGATGTTCTGCTAAGAACAGATACCTCAGAACCACTTCTGTTTGTGGTGCAATATCACTCAGCTGCCACTGATGATTTTATCAATAAGAGCATACACGTTGAGCATGTTATGATGACACATGGTATTGTCATTACTAGTTACAAATATATTCAGCTTTTGACACTTTCTTATGCCCCCGAGCCGGCAATAGCTGTGGTCGGAGGCGTTATGTTTTCAGACAGTGATTTGAATTTGGTGGTCAAAGTTCACTGTGACCTCACAAAACACATTTTTGGCCATAACTTAAGAACTGATGATCATATTTTACAATTGGTTGGACACAGAATTGGTGACACTTTTAACAAAGGCCAAAAGGACCTTGACATTTTAGGTCATAACTCAAGAATTGAGGCTATAATTATGAAAATTTCACACAGATGTTTAATGGGCTCAACGATGAAGTGATGACATTTTCAACTTCACTGTGACATCATAATGTCCTGGACATTTTTGGCAGTTATTCAAAACCATAGTTTAGGAACATAAGGGGAGATTGTTACCATATTTCACAGTTGGTTGGACACTGAATTGGTGACATTTTTATTCAAAGGTCACTGTGACCTCAAAATAGGTGTTAGCCATAATTTAAGAATAAGATTGCAGTAATTCCAGATTTCAGGGTCATAATGCCGTACCTTCAGTGATGCCTTGCGGTGTTCTGCCATCACAGTGAGCTTCTCTACTAGCCCCCGGAGACACTCCTGCGTAGCATGAGAAACCAGAGTGACCACCTCTGGACCGACATCAGTCACTCCCAGTGCCTGTCCTAACACAGAGCACACAAAACATCTGGCAGTTGTATCACAAGAAGACACATCATAGCTAAGCTGAGACTTCACAGCAAGTAAAGTTAAAAAATGGATAAAAATCATATTTCTACTGGATGTCTTTAACTGATTCAAAAACTCAAACCTAAATGGTAGTACAAACATGAAGAAATTCTACATTTCATTTTCAAAAGATTTTTATGAAGGCTTGTATTGTGAATTTAATGACCAAATGAACTGTAGTGGTAAATTACATACTTCTGTCACCATTTTAAATGGGGCCTGGCACTGTGTCCATAAACATTTTAATGATCTGCCTTTGTGTATAAAAAACATCAGTTTCATATGCAGATGACATCACTCTGTACAGTGTCACCACATCAGATCAAGAGGTAACTTGCACTTTAAGAGATGCCATAATAGACATAAACAAGTGGGTTGAGTACAACAAGTTGGTTTTAAATATTTCCAAGACTAACACCTTGGTCTTTGGATCCCGACATCAGTGCCAAAAACCCCTCAATTAAGATTTGCAAGAAGCAATAAATGGGAAGAGGAATCAGTATGACAAGGAAGTGTTCTGCATTCTTCCCTCCCTCAATCAAATCAGGTATACATTCTTTGGTTCTGTCTGACCTAGAATACTGCCCTGTAATCTTGTCATTAGAAAGAGTCAGGTACCCTAAAACTAAAGCTACTCATCTGGTAGTACAAACATGAAGAAAATTTCATTTTCAAAAGATTTTATAAAGGCTTAATTGTCTTGCACGCCGGGCGGGGCTTTGCGTCGGCCCTGGGCATGGAGAATGTGCACAATATATCTCGTTTTGCATTAAATTGTATCTCATAATTATGACATAATAAGTCGTTAATTCAGCATATTTGGTAATAGAGTTAAATGGTAAATGGTAAATGGACCTGTACATGTATAGCGCCTTTCTAGTCTTC